TCTCAACGAAGGACGATTTTTCCATTGGCGGTTACGTTGACCTGTTACGTTCGGAGCTGGTTCTCCATATAACAACCTGCTGGATTATTTTACCTTTTTATTTTGAGAGGATTGCAGCGTAGTGAGTGACTATTCACCGCTTCTCTGGCTATTGTAAAGTAAATGCACCTGGAGAAACTGAAATGTGATAAGTGATTCACAGGAGCTTTTCCATCATCGAACAAGGCTAACGGAAGGAATTTTACCACGTTGACGGGAGGCAGTTGATTTAACCAGACGTTGTCGCTTTTCTAAACTCCAGGGAATGTTGGTATTCCTGCCAGTTTTTCTCTTGTAGTTTATAGTTGATGTAATTGTTTTTGACCTCTTAGCTCTGAATATACGGAGGTGCTACCAATACCAAATCAAAATCCTGGGGTGCTTTTAAATCCCTTATTGATTAATTCAATCTAGGATATGCAGGTGAACGACTAACACCTCCCGATTTCGAGGAACGGAAAGTGGCTTCATTCCCCACAAGAAAGCGTCATCCCCCTCCTCCAACCTCCCCGACTTTTCAACCTCCAACAGGTTCTGTCAGAACCTCGGATACGCCTGGGACAAGACAAGGACAACGTCCCACTGGGCCACCGCATGAGAAGTGTAAGTTACTGATTACGTGTTTCGGTTCACCTATATGTACATAAGAGTTATCCCCAGATACGTGATCTGTACATACACTGTAGAAGAGTTATTGCGTCACGTTCCCGCGAGGGAGCTCGCCGTTCTCTTTTTTTAAAGAATTCTTTACTTTAGGAGAAGCGGTAAGCCGCGATTTCGCTAACCAATTCAAAGTCCCGGGTATCATAGCAAGTACACATTTAGGAAGAACGTACAGGTCAGCAGTCGCGAAAACCAAAAACACCGTGATTCTAATCCTCGCATACAACGCTTTTAGATAATGGGGATAAAGACAAACGATTAAATAAATGGAGAACGAGTTGGACTCTTGTCTCAATCCAAGCAGCTTATTTCCACGCTTTGTCAAACTCTCCAAACTGCCGAGTGAAACTCCGGCTTGCACCCAGTCAGCTAAACGTAGAATGAGATCTTTCGAATATATCATTTACATTCACCGATTTAAACCATTCATAAATCCATGACAAATCCATGCTGTTTATTCGGCTTAAATGTGGTGAATCGATTGCGCACGAGTTGTGCGCGAACAGTCTACCAGGATTCAGGCAAATAATCCATTCGGTAGTTAGATGTACAGAAAATCCGAATGTCGCACAAATAGGGACAAATTTAGCGAAATACACTCATCTGCAAACTAATTCGGTTTTTCGAGAGACTCACCTGAAACCCGGCTGAATATCTCGTTTCTGATGTTCCAGGCCACTGAATGTGCTGCACCAGGCCGTATCATGTTTCAGTCGCTACGATATTCCAGATATCGCGGCACATGTTTATTCGTAATTCACTACTCATAAGGTTGCTGAAAATTCGTCGACAGCCCACGACCGGTTTCACCCTTTCGGGGCTCATCAGGTAGGCGCCAGGGCCACTCCAACACGTTTGCGAACCGCCGTGCAGTGCGATCGACATAACGGCTGGACCGTGGTGACGCCTCTGGCATCCCTACGCTCGTTTAGCGGCTTTCAAACCCTGTGCCCTAGTTAGAAGCTGCGTGGCATTAACATGACGTTGCTTCATGCACAAAATGAGTCGCTCCACCAAATGGGATGAAACCTGGAACGCACCCGTACAACAACAAGATACCGTACAAGACCACAATAACACAAACATCCAAAATGGGGCAAAAAAGCTACGGAGGTTTAAACGAGATATAATGAACCCCCAGTAGTTCAGGCTGTAACACCCCGATGTGATTCGCGTTCCTAATCATCTCGGCGTAACAGGATATTCGGATTAATCCGTCCAACGTGGATATAGACAGACAACACACGCCAACCTCCCATGCCACCGCGATACGGGACAACCACACGCCTGATAGCAAGGCAGGGAATTTTACCGCTTGCGGGCTGAAACAAAGAACATGGCTCGGCTCCCAGGGCGGCAGGAGCGCCGATGATCAGGCCCAAAAGAGGGCACGTGATTGGTCAGTCAATAAGATGCAGATCTGGGGTGACACGATAGGCCACATTTGTCACACAGTCAGGCGTGATGTGCATACCGCATGCAAACACTTGGCAGACGCGCTCACGGATGGACATGTGTAAGCATGTCATGAACCCGGCTTTGACGCAAAATATACGTGAAAGGTCACTGGCAAACAGGGCGAGGCTAGTCAGTGAGACGTAGGAATAGACATGATTTGCCAGACGGCCCGAGGGATCTTCAGTCCACACCTATGTTCAGGCTTAGACTTGGCGATGTCAACAAAGGAACTCGAGATGTGGCTAATCAAGGATGCCAATCAAAAGGCCACTTTACCCATCTTACTGTTTTCACTTGATGACCCTCGACCACGATCGAAATCGCAGTGGATTACGTCTTCGCAATTTTTGATAACCTGTCTCAGAGCATCTCGGGTTTCACAGTTTACACTGTAAGTCCGCCAAATAGGGAAGCGCTTCAAGCCTCCACCCATTTCTTCCCGAATTCACGAGTCGCAATCTTGGAGATAATTTCGGTGAAACCAAACCAAAGAATCAAGCAGTGCCTGTTAAACTTGATTCTAAGTTTTTATTGGCTTCGACAACTTCACCAAACCCCGCCACGTAGTTTTAACACCGACCATACGGTCACTCTCTGCTTTTCCCTTCGGGTATTTCAGAGTGACACCGCGGTTCAGATTATTGATTGAAATCCTGTCTATCTCCCTGTAGCTGTATACGTGGACTATTTACCGCGCCCCACATCGTTACGTGATCTATTTTCCCAATAATGCATCTTGCACATGGAAGTAACCTCTACATGTTGATGGTTTAATGACCGTTGGTTCTTGCGCACACTGAAGCCACTTTCTACATTGTCATAACTTAGTGTTCCACGAACGACTGGAGGGTCTACTTGAAAGCCCTGTAGCTGCACTGCATACAGAGTGTATATTTTACAGATTATATATTCCTACAACTTTTTCTTGGGTTCGCACAGTTTTTGAGTGGATGAATGACGAGCACAAAGAACCAATATTTCATCCGTTGCTTTGTTACTCTGATTCTGTATTGATTTGGCCATGAGAGACGGACCTATGTATTTTGAGTTGGTCGATTTTGTGCGCAATTACACAGGTTCCTTATTGAGATTGTAACACACAATTGGGAGTGCACGAAATCATCACAGAACTTGGTAATGCCGTGTCTGTCTATTATGTGACCTTTCAACCCGTTTAGTTCGATTAATTGACTCTGCACCTTCGAGAAATACATTCATTTGCAAATCAATTTGGTTTTCACGAGAGACTCAACTGAATCTCTCGTTTACGATGTTCTACAACTGAATGTGCTGCACCCAGGCCGCCTCATGTTTCAATTGGTACGATATTCAAGATATCGGTCGTGGGCTGTCAAAGAGTTTTCAGCAACCTTGTGAGTAGTTTCCTTTATGAAAATATACTTCGATATCTCGAATATCGTGCCAACTGAATGATGAGGCGGCCTGTGTGCAGCACATTCAGCTGGAGAACATCATAAACGAGAGATTCAGTTGAGTCGCTCGTGAAAACCAAATTGATTTGCAAATGAGTGTATTTCTCGAAAACAGTCCAATTTGAGTTTAAGTAGAACATAAGGTTGAAGGAAACTCGGGGTCTGCGCCTATCTGATGAGCCCCAAGAAGGACGAAACCGGTAGTGTGCTGTCAAGGAGTTTTTGGCAACCTTGTGAGTAGTTTCCTTCATGACTCTGCACCTGTTTGTACCCACGGAGGCCGCATATTTCGCTAATTTCGTGCGATGCGGGCTCAAGTAGAACATAAAGTTGACATGAACTTCGGGACTACTCCTAATTGATCAGCCCCAACAAGGGCAAAATCGGTCGTGGGTTGTCGAAAAATTTTCATTAACCTTATGAGTAGTGTATTACGTCTAAACAAGACGATATCTCTAAAATTCTACCGAAATAATGACCCCTCGACCAGTTTTAAGCTTTTGCAGTCTGGCTTTTTTTTCACGATTTAACTATTCGTTTTTGTATGAGAGGACTGACAACGATTGTTTATTTTGGTTTCGAGTCAGCTGGCTTGAAGTTATTTCCATTCTTCCCTTAAATAATCGCTAAACACACGTATTCAGATGCGACAATGTCTTCAAAATATACTACCAATGGAAAAGGTTACAATGGGCCTCTTCTAAGAGAATGCTAACGAATTCGTGTCTGACTTGTAAGACTGTTGTGGAGATTGACCTCTTCTCGGGTTTTTCTCTCTTCTGGAAAACGGTGTATACCTACCTCAGCTAATTGCCTCGGATTCAAACGGTATGATAAAACCATTCAGTTTTGTTCGCTCAGTTTCTGGAGCATGGTTTTGGGTGGCTTACTCTCACAAACTACACAGACCGTTGGACATTTGGAAACTGTCACAAGTATTTTCGTTTAACCTTCTTCCTCGTCACAATCCCTCTAACTTCATCCCTGACTTACCTCATATCAGGCCTCCAAGTGCTGCTTACGAAACACAAAAAAGTCACCCAGGCAAAATTTTATGAAGAAAACAGTACGGGTAATGACACAAAAAGGAGTCCACATATTAACAGTTGCGTGTCGTGTTGCTTTAAATACGAACATTTTCGGGACGCCTTATTGTACAGTAGAAAGGAAACGGAACAGCTGGTAGAAGATCATATATTTCACCAGGTTTTACAAAGTGACGGAAACTGTTATTAGAACGGTTACTTTCATCAGAGTGGAGAGTTTTGGTGTAGTTACTGCGCGAGCAAGATAATTGCAGTGGTTCTAAAAGTGATTTAGTGTCGCGATGTAGTGTCAAACAAGAGACACAGGGCTCAGAACTGGTTTGACTGATCCAAGGAGCACGTTTAGCCAAACACATACGGTCGAGGACAGGATCTCGGCAACCGTCATGAAGGATACAGTGAGACCAGCTGCAGTGTACATTTGAGAGTAATGAAAGTAGTTTGATAAGTTCAATGAAAAAACTAGACGTTCATTCTAGCATCTTTAGTCTCTGTACCGATAGTCATATTATGTAGTCCTTTCCGTGTGAATTAACTTACTTCAGTTTGCTTACGTACCAGGATTCTTAACTTTCTTCCTAGTTTAGTTTTCTGCTATCTATCCATACTATGATGTATTTGAAGATCTAGTTGGCTGTCGTCTGCCTAGCTTAGGAACCACAGCGGGCGAAGCTGAGAGGACTTCAATCGATTTGACACTGATGCCCAATGTATTCAAATTTTCGGTTACACGGTTACTGTGATTAACCTGGTTCCCAGCCAGCGAACGAAATTAATCGACACCTTAGCATTCACCGATGTTGAGACGATAGATCATGTCGCGTACTTGTTGGTAAGAGCAAAGAATACCTTCCATTCACCCGACCACCATAAGGTTTTGACAACGTGGAAGTGCGAACGAATGCGGATTATGCTTTGAGCTAGAGAATGCGTCTACCGATTACCGTCCCCTTGGTTGTTTTCTGTTTGCACCCTTACCGTAAGGTGGGCGTTGTTATTAATA